ATGATGGTGGTAGTGTTGGTGATGGTAGTTGCAGTTGTGGTGGTAGTTGTGATGGTGGTAGTGTTGGTGATGGTAGTTGTAGTAATGGTGGTAGTGGTTGTAGTGGTGGTGGTGTTGGTAGTAGTTGTGGTAGTAGTGGTGTTGGTGGTAGTTGTGGTAGTAGTGGTGTTGGTGGTAGTGTTAGTAGTAGTTGTGATGGTGGTAGTGTTAGTAGTAGTTGTGGTAATGGTGGTAGTGTTGGTAGTTGTGATGGTGGTAGTGTTGGTGATGGTAGTTGTAGTGGTGGTAGTTGTGATGGTGGTAGTGTTGGTGATGGTAGTGGTAATGGTGGTAGTGTTGGTGATGGTAGTTGTAGTGGTGGTAGTTGTAGTAGTTGTGATGGTGGTAGTTGTGATGGCGGTAGTTGTAGTAGTGGTTGTGATGGTGGTGGTAGTTGTAGTGGTGGTGGTAGTTGTAGTGGTGGTAGTTGTGATGGCGGTAGTTGTAGTTGTGATTGTGGTGGTAGTTGTGAGTCGTAGTTGTGTTGGTGGTTATTGTCGTAGTGTTTTGGAGCAGTCGCTGTGCCCCGCACCCGGCGACCCGAGATCGCTTCCCGCTCACGGCACACACCGAACACCGAGCCGCTCGTGGGTCGCCCCCCTAGGTCGACTCGGCCTCAAATGAGTCACCTGGTGTAGCGGTGGTGGTTGTGGTGGTGCAGCAGTGAACATCGCCAGCACTGGGGGGAGAGACAAAGACGGCCGGGCGTGGTGGTGGTGCTGGTGGTGGCCACCCACCCCCTCTGTGTGTGAGGTAGCCACAGTGCCGGCAGCCTTAAGACATAGACACAGACACCTCACATCGACAAAGCTCCCCGGGGTAGCCTCTAGCAGGCTGTAATGGCAAGTGCTGTTACACACACACAGACAACGCTCCCCCAGGTAGCCTCTAGCAGGGCTGTAGGGGGGCAAGTGCTGATCCTTATCGAGTAGCTTATACAGGCACGCACAGAGACACACCGCACAAAGGCAAAGCTCCCCCGTGTAGCCTCTAGCAGCGAGAAGCAGCAGCCTTACCAAGGCCTGCACTGTGTAACACAGCAGAGTGGGCGGGCGGGTGGGCGGCTGGCAGGCACATCACACAACGCCTGCCCGGCCGCCTTTGTCTCCCCTACAGGCGGCGACGTTTGCTACCACCGACCATCACCGTCACCACCACTACCACCGTCACCACCACTACCACCGTCACCACCACCGTCACCACCACCGTCACCACCACCGTCACCACCACCGTCACCACCACCGTCACCACCACCGTCACCACCACCGTCACCACCACCGTCACCACCACCGTCACCACCACCGTCACCACCACCACCGTCACCACTACCACCGTCACCACAGTCACCAGCTCGATTTAGGCCCGAGTCAACCTAGAGGGCAGTGCCGGACTATCGGAGCAAAAGTAGCTTCACATCTGTATAGTAGTAGTAGCAGCTACTACTACTACTACATCATATGTAGTAGTAGCAGCTACTACTACTACTACATCATATGTAGTAGTAGCAGCTACTACTACTACATCATATGTAGTAGTAGCAGCTACTACTACTACATCATATGTAGTAGTAGCAGCTACTACTACTACATCATATGTAGTAGTAGCAGCTACTACTACTACATCATATGTAGTAGTAGCAGCTACTACTACTACATCATATGTAGTAGTAACAGCTACTACTACTACTACTACATCATATGTAGTAGTAGTAGCTGTTACTACTACTACATCATATGTAGTAGTAGCAGTAGCTACTACTACTACTACTACATCATATGTAGTAGTAGCAGTAGCTACTACTACTACTACTACATCATATGTAGTAGTAGCAGTAGCTACTACTACTACTACATCATATGTAGTAGTAGCAGCAGCTACTACTACTACTACATCATATGTAGTAGTAGCAGCTACTACTACTACTACTACATCATATGTAGTAGTAGCAGCTACTACTACTACATCATATGTAGTAGTAGCAGCTACTACTACTACATCATATGTAGTAGTAGCAGCTACTACTACTACATCATATGTAGTAGTAGCAGCTACTACTACTACATCATATGTAGTAGTAGCAGCTACTACTACTACATCATATGTAGTAGTAGCAGCTACTACTACTACATCATATGTAGTAGTAGCAGCTACTACTACTACATCATATGTAGTAGTAGCAGCTACTACTACTACATCATATGTAGTAGTAGCAGCTACTACTACTACATCATATGTAGTAGTAGCAGCTACTACTACTACATCATATGTAGTAGTAGCAGCTACTACTACTACATCATATGTAGTAGTAGCAGCTACTACTACTACATCACATGTAGTAGTAGCAGCTACTACTACATCACATGTAGTAGTACTACATCACATGTAGTAGTAGCAGCTACTACTACATCACATGTAGTAGTAGCAGCTACTACTACTACATCACATGTAGTAGTAGCAGCTACTACTACTACTACATCACATGTAGTAGTAGCAGCTACTACTACTACTACATCATATGTATATAATGTAGAATTAGTAGCAGCTACTACTACTAATGTAGAAGTAGTAGCAGCTACTACTACTAATGTAGAAGTAGTAGCAGCTACTACTACTAATGTAGAAGTAGCAGCTACTACTACTACTACTAATGTAGAAGTAGTAGCAGCTACTACTACTACTAATGTAGAAGTAGTAGCTGCTGCTACTTCTACATATGTAGTAGCTGCTACTACAAATGTAGTAGTTACTACTACATATGTAGTAGTAACTACTACAAATGTAGTAGTTACTACTACATATGTAGTAGTAACTACTACAAATGTAGTAGTTACTACTACATATGTAGTAGTAGCTGCTGCTTCTACTAATGTAGTAGTAGCTACTTCTACATATGCAGTTACTACTACATATGTAGTAGTAGTAATTACTACTACTATGTATGTAGTAGTTACGTAGTAGTAACTACTACTATATATGTAGTAGTAACTACTATATATAGTAGTAGTAACTACTATATATAGTAGTAACTACTACTATATATGTAGTAGTAGTAACTACTATATATAGCAGTAGTAACTACTATATATGTAGTAGTTACTACTACATATATAGTAGTAACTACTATATATAGCAGTAGTAACTACTATATATGTAGTAGTTACTACTACATATATAGTAGTAACTACTATATATAGCAGTTACTACTACTACATATGTAGTAGTAGTAACTACTATATACATGTAGTAGTAGTAACTACTATATATAGTTACTATTACTATATATGTAGTAGTAGTAGCTGCGTGCACCGCACTTTAAAGCCCCCCCCCCACCCCCCACCCCCCACCTCCGCCTCCGCCCCAGCGCTCCAAACCTTCCGAGCCGTCGATCCGGCTCGCGCGATAGCCGCCACTTGCTCCGCTACCGCAGAACCTACGCCCGCCCTGAACCACCTTTTCCCGCGCAGCCGATTTTGACGCCGTGCAGTCTGCGGCCGCACGGCAACATGTGGAGGGGGCGGGTGAAGAAAGTAAAGAACTAAGAACGCTTTTGCCGTGCAAGTTAAACATCACCGACGTCGCCGGGAGCGAGCGAGCGAGGGAGGGAGCGAGGGAGCGTTGTGACGCCGCCGTGGTTATTTTACGCTTAGGTTTTAAATCGACGGCTTCCCCCCCCGCCCCTCCCCCCGCCCGTCATCGCCGCAGACGCTCCCCGCCAGGAGCCCGCGCGGCCTTCGTCCGCTACGGCCCTGGGGGGAGGGGAGGGAGCCAAACACCCTGGGGGAGGGTGTAGCGGTGTCAGGGGAAATTGCCGTCGCTGGGGTGGTGACGACTGTGGTGGTGACTGCAGTGACGGTGGCGACTGTGACGGTGGTGACTGTAGTGGTGGTGACTGTAGTGGTGACGGTGGTGGTGGTGGTGACTGCAGTGACGGTGGTTTTGACGACTGTAGTGGTGACTGCAGTGACTGGTGGTGATGGTGGCGGTGGTGGCGGTGACTGTGGTGGTGGTGGTGACTGTGGTGGTGGTGGTGACTGTGGTGGTGGTGGTGACGGTGACTGTGGTGGTGGTGACGGTGACTGTGGTGGTGGTGACGGTGACTGTGGTGGTGGTGGCGGTGACTGTGGTGGTGACGGTGACTGTGGTGGTGGCGGTGACTGTGGTGGTGGCGGTGACTGTGGTGGTGGCGGTGACTGTGGTGGTGGTGGCGGTGACTGTGGTGGTGGTGGCGGTGACTGTGGTGGTGGTGGCGGTGACTGTGGTGGTGGTGACTGTGGTGGTGGCGGTGACTGTGGTGGTGGTGGCGGTGACTGTGGTGGTGGTGACGGTGACTGTGGTGGTGGTGACGGTGACTGTGGTGGTGACGGTGACTGTGGTGGTGACGGTGACTGTGGTGGTGACGGTGACTGTGGTGGTGACGGTGACTGTGGTGGTGGTGGTGACGGTGACTGTGGTGGTGACGGTGACTGTGGTGGTGGTGGTGACGGTGACTGTGGTGGTGACGGTGACTGTGGTGGTGACGGTGACTGTGGTGGTGACTGTGGTGGTGGTGGTGACGGTGACTGTGGTGGTGACGGTGACTGTGGTGGTGACGGTGACTGTGGTGGTGACGGTGACTGTGGTGGTGACTGTGGTGGTGCTGACTGTGGTGGTGCTGACTGTGGTGGTGGTGACTGTGGTGGTGGTGACTGTGGTGGTGCTGACTGTGGTGGTGGTGGTGACGACGGTGACGGTGGTGGTGGTGACGGTGACGGTGACTGTGGTGCTGGTGTTGAGCGAGCGGGGATCGAACCCTCGGGTCCTCTGGTCGGGTTCGTAGGGGCAGCCGTGGCAACGCTCACCACCACCACCACCGTCACCACCACCACCACCACCGCCACCACCACCGTCACCACCACCACCACCGTCACCACCACCACCACCGTCACCACCACCACCACCGTCACCACCACCACCACCACCACCGTCACCAACGCTCACCACCGTCACCACCACCGTCACCACCACCGTCACCACCACCGTCACCACCACCGTCACCACCACCGTCACCACCACCGTACTCGTTTTGAGGCAGAGTGGACCTAGGAGATTCCCGGTTCAGATCGTTGTGACCCGGGTCGGTCGGCCGTGAACGGGAATCGAAGCGCCGACCGCCAAAACTACACCACACCGCTCTCCCAACCAACCACCTCCACCACCACCACCACCACACCCAACAACACCCAACCACACCACCACCAGCTTAGCTGCACGACAGCCACACCGGGTAGCTCTGATGGTACATGATGGCCGGCTGAGCGTGCACCACAACAAACTCTCCCCCGACGCCGTGAATTCTCCCTCCACCTCCGCTGCCACCGCCGCCGCCGCCGCCGCCGGCCGAGTGATTCGAGCCTCCGTTCTTCCGGCCACCGCCACCGCCTCGGTGCGGCTTGCCCACGGCGGCGGCGGCGGCGGCGGCGGCGGCCTTGGCAAAGTTCGACGGCGGATGTCCGGGCGAAGCCGCCTGCTGATGCTGCTGCTGATGCTGAAGAATCTGCTGATGATGATGATGCTGATGATGCTGCTGCTGCTGCTGCCGCTGAAGACGCTGCTGGTGGTGCTGCTGCTGCTGCTGGTGGTGCTGGTGGTGCTGCTGCTGCTGCTGCTGGTGGTGGTGGTGGTGGCTGGCGACGGCGGCGTACGCCGCCGGGTGGTAGTAGCACGTCACGTTGGCGGCGTTGGGCAGGCCGCTGTGGCAGGCGAGGACGCGGAAGGCGAGCAGGGCGATGAGGTTGAGTATCTGCCGCCGCTCGTGACCCATCAGGCAGACGGTGCTCTCCGACACGACCGCCTGCAGGCGCATCAGGAACTCGTAGCGCAGGCGGGCAGTGGCGCCGGGACCGGCTGCCGGCGTCGCTGGCGACGACGCCGAAGACGCCGGCGTTGACGACGTTACGGCGGCGGCCGCCGAGCCTTCTTCTTCTTCTTCTTCGTCGGCGTCGGCGTCGGCGTCGGCGGCGTCGTCCGTTCCGGAGTCTTCTTCGTCGTCTTCGTCGGCGTCCGTTCCGGCGTAATCGTCGTCGTCGTCGGCCGTGCCGCCGGCGCCGGCGGCGGCGGCGTAGCCGGCAAAGACTTCGGCGCCCTCGGCGTGGACGGTCACGCCGAATCGGCCGGCGGTGGTGGCGGTGGTGGCGGCGGCGGAGGGGTAGGCAAAGTGGTTGCGCAGGTAGGCGGTCAACTTGCGCTCCTACGGCAAGGCACGGGAGGGGTAGGGCGGGGTGGGGCGGGGCGGGGGGAGTTGAGGAGGAGAGGAAGAGGAGAGAGATGATGGGGACACGGTGAGTGAGTGGGCGGATGGGTGGGTGGGTGAGTGAGTGGGTGGGTGGGTGGGTGAGTGAGTGAGTGGGTGGATGAGTGAGTGGGTGGGTGTGCGAGTGGGTGGGTGGGTGGGTGTACAGATGGGTGGGTGAGTGGGTGAGTGGGTGGGTGAGCGAGTGTACGGATGGGTGAGTGGGTGGGTGAGTAAGTGTACGGATGGGTGGGTGAATGGGTGGGTGAGTGGGTGGGTGGGTGGGTGAGTGAGTGGGTGGGTGGGTGAGTGTACGGATGGGTGGGTGAGTAGATGGGCGAGTGTACGGATGGGTGGGTGAGTGGGTGTATGGATGGGTGGGTGAGTGAGTGAGTAGGTGGGTGGGTGAGTGGGTGGGTGAGTGTACGGATGGGTGGGTGAGTAGATGGGCGAGTGTATGAACGGGTGAGCGGGCGAGCGAGCGTACGAATGGCTCCCGACATTCCCCCCACACCCCCCCCCACCCCCACCCCAACCCCCCCCCCCCACCCCCCCCCACTTTCCCACCCACCTGAGCCCCGACATCCGGGAAGTCGATGAAGAACCGTGAACACATGTACCGCTCCAGCGCTTTGATGCGCGGGGCGCAGTGCGGGCGGAATCCCCGCGCCAGCAGCTCGCAGTACTTGAGGAGCCCCCCGCCGCGGATCTCCTCGGGACGCCGCGTGGCGATGAGGCGCTCCCACAGGTGGCCCAGCGCCTCCGCAAAGTCCCCGTAGACGCTCTCGGCGTACAGCGGCGGGGGCCGGCGGGGGGAGGTGGAGGAGGTGGTGGAGGTGGAGGAGGTGGTGGAGGTGGTGGAGGTGGTGCAGGTGGTGGTACAGGAGGAGGTGGTGGGGGTAGGTGGCCGAGGAGGAGGAGGAGGCCGAGAGGCGGCGGTGGGGGGGTCTGCCGCTCCGTCCCCACCGCCCACGCCGCCGCTGAGGCCGCGAGGCCGCAGCTGATGAACGTCCGTGCGCTGCTGCTGCTGATGAACGTCCACGTGCAGCTGCTGATGAACATCCGTGTGCAGCTGCAGCTGCTGCTGCTGAACATCTGTGTGCAGCTGCTGCTGCTGCTGAACATCCATGTGCAGCTGCTGCTGCTGAACATTTGTATGCTGCTGCTGAACATTTGTTTGCAGCTGCTGCTGAACATCCGTGTGCTGCTGCAGCTGCTGCTGCTGCTGCAGTAGCTGCTTCACAACACCACCACCACCATCACCCTGCTGCTGCTGCTGCCGGTAGAAGCGGAGCAGCGGGTCGATGTCGATCTGGAAGGAGTCGACGCTGAACTCGAACTGTCGACGCAGCGACTGCACGAACTTCATCTCGATGTTGCGGCCGGCGTTGTTGGTGAAAGAGACGAGGCTCCAGCGGTCCGTCTCCGTGCTCACCTGAAGCAGCAAACGCCACCGCCACCGCACGGCACGCGGAGGGGGGGCGGGGAGAGACGCATGCGGACATAGAGACACGCGCAGAGACAGAGACGTAGAGAGACACGCACAAACACACGCACAACAACAACAGCCATTCGCCAGACACACAGAGACGCACACAGACAGAGACACACACAGAGACACAGACAGAGACACACACACAGATACAGAGACACTCACAAACACATGCACAACAACAGCAACAACCGCCATTCGCCAGACACACAGACAGAGACACACACAGAGACAGACACAAAGATAAAGATAAAGATCCCCCTTATAGCCTTAACAGACTGTAGGGGCAAGTGCTGTTAGCGAGCACCTATGAAGGCCGGATCGGTACACGAGGGGGTGGGTGGCCAGCACCACGCCCGACCGCCTTTGTCTCCCTAGTGGCAATGTTTACACACCGCACCAGGTACTCATTTGAGGCTGAGTCGACCTAGGGGAGGCCCGGGACCGGTTCAGATAATCGTCACTTAGTGTTGGCCGTGAGCGGGAATCGAACCCGAGTCGCCAGGTTCATAGCGCAGCTCGCTAACCGCTACACTACCGCTCCACACACACAGAGACTCACACACAACAACCGCCATTTGCCACCAAGTGGCGGTGATGTCACCACGACGCTTGTGCCAGGCTATGTGCACCTTGAGGCCACGTGAAGTGTCGAACGCCCGCTGGCAGGAGGTCACGGGGCAGACCCAGCAGGTGCCACGGGTTGACTGACTGAGATGACTGGCTGATGCACCACCTGTGCCCCCTACTGTGCCAACATGCTGTGCTTTAGCCACCCGGCGCTCCGCTCGTTGTTGTGAGCGTCGCTCATCTGCCCTCCGTTGTTGCTGGAGGGCGACTGCCTCCAACTGCCCAGTAGCGTCCTTCACGAGCCTCCTCCACAGAGGCCGATCTTGACACCGCTGGTACCGGTCATCGGCAAGTCCCCTCAGCCTCCACGTCCTCCCGTACCACATCACTCCATCTCTTCTCTAGCCCGTGCCGCGCCCGTTTAGCCCCCTCGATCCGGCCGAACAAAAGCTTGTTTCGGCATGCGGTGGCTGGGCATGCGGGCTAGGTGACCCAGCCAACGCAGCATTGCCCGCCGGAGGAGCTCACCGATGGGACCTTGCCCAGATCTTTCGAGGATTTGTGAGCTCCTCACACAATGCAGCCTGGTTAAACCCAGGATGGATCGTAGGCAGGCCAGCCCAAATGTTTCTATCCGGCGAAGATGTTCCATTGGGGGGGGGGGGGGGGGGGGGGTCCACGTTTCGCAAGAGACATGCGCACAGAGACACGCACTCTCAACTCACCTGCACAGAGATAGACACACGCTCACGGACTCACTCAGACTCACAGAGACACACAGCTAGCTGACTGGACAGCCGACTAGCTGGCTAGCTGGCTAGCTAGCCGATTGGTTGACTAGCTGGCTAGCCGACTTGCAAGCCGAATGGCGAGCTAACTGGCTGACTGGCTAGCCGACCGGTTGACTGGCTGGCTAGCTGGCTAGCTAAGTGGCTAATGGACTGGCTAGCTGGTTGGCTAGCTAACTAGATACATGGCTAGTTGACCGACTGGCTGGCTAACTAGATACATGGCTAGTTGACTGGCTGACTAGCTGGTTAACTGGCTGACGGGTTGACTGGCTAGCTAACTAGATACATGGCTAGTTGACTGGCTAACTAGCTGGTTAGCTGGCTGACGGGTTGACTGGCTAGCTAACTAGATACATGGCTAGTTGACTGGCTGACTAGCTGGTTAGCTGGCTGACGGGTTGACTGGCTAGCTAACTAGATACATGGCTAGTTGACTGACTGGCTGGCTGGCTAACTAGATACATGGCTAGTTGACTGGCTGACTAGCTGGTTAGCTGGCTGACGGGTTGACTGGCTAGCTAACTAGATACATGGCTAGTTGACCGACTGGCTAACTAGATACATGGCTAGTTGACTGGCTGACTAGCTAACTAGATACATGGCTAGTTGACTGGCTGACTAGCTAACTAGATACATGGCTAGTTGACTGGCTGACTAGCTAACTAACTAGATACATGGCTAGCTAACGAGGCACATGGCTAGTTGACTGACTGGCTGGCTAACTAACGAGGCACATGGCTAGTTGAACTGACAAGCTGACTAACTAGATACATGGCTAGTTGACTGACTGGCTGGCTAGCTAACTAGATACATGGCTAGTGGACTGACTGACTAGCTGGTTAACTGACTGACGGGTTGACTGGCTAGCTAGCTAGATACATGGCTAGTTGACTGGCTGGCTGGCTGACAGGTTGACTAGCTGGCTAACTAGATAGATGGCTAGTTGACTGACTAGCTGGCTAACTAGGTACATGGCTAGTTGACTGGCTGACTAGCTGGTGAGCTGACTGACGAGTTGACTGGCTGGCTAGCTAACTAGATAATGGCTAGTTGACTGGCTGACTAGCTGACTGACGGGTTGACTGGCTGGCTAGCTAACTAACTAGATACATGGCTAGTTGACTGGCTGACTAGCTGGTTAGCTGGCTGACGGGTTGACTGGCTAGCTAGCTAACTAGATACATGGCTAGTTGACTGACTGGCTAGCTAACTAGATACATGGCTAGTCGACTGACTGGTTGGCTAGCTAACTAGATACATGGCTAGTCGACTGAATGGCTGGCTAGCTAACTAGATACATGGCTAGTTGAATGACTGGCTGGCTAGCTAGCTAGATACATGACTAGTTGACTGGCTGGCTAGCTAGCTAACTAGATACATGGCTAGTTGACTGGCTAACTGGCTGACTGGTTGACTGGCTACCTAACTAGATACATGGCTAGTTGACTGACTGGCTGGCTAGCTAACTAGATACATGGCTAGTTGACTGACTGGCTGGCTAGCTAACTAGATACATGGCTAGTTGACTGGATGACTAGCTGGTTAACTGGCTGATGGGTTGATTGGCTAGCTAACTAGATACATGGCTAGTTGACTGACTGGCTAGCTAACTAGATACATGGCTAGTTGACCGACTGACTGGCTGACTGGCTGGCTAGCTAACTAGATACATGGCTAGTTTACTGACTGGCTGGCTAGCTAACTAGATACATGGCTAGTTGACTTACTGACTGGCTAGCTAACTAGATACATGGCTAGTTGACCGACTGGTTAGCTAACTAGATACATGACTAGTTGACCGACTAGCTGACTAGCCGACTGGCTGGCTGACTGGGGGGGGTGGCTCGCCGTGACCGGCCCCTCACCTTCACCAGCTTCTGCACGTAGGCGTCGCTCAGCGCGGCGAGCCCGATCCTCTCCTTGCACACCCCCTCGGGCAGGAAGTCGAGAAGCGACTCGATCGCCGCCTCCCTGACCAGGCCGAACTCCGCCTCCGTGCCGAAACCGCCACCGCCGCCATTGCCGCCGCCGCCGTTGCCGCCGGCAAACTCCACGGCGAAGATGAGATCCACGTCCTGGTAAGGGAACGGCGGCCGCCCCGGCGGGCTCAGCACGTGGCTCGCCGCCGAGCCGTTGAGCCTCACGGCCCGCACGGCGACGCCGCGCGCCACCAGGCGGCCCTGGACGGCGGCCGCGGCCCCGCCGGGCGGCACGGCCAGCGTGGGGAAGTTGCCCCGGCCGTGGATGGCGACGGGGCGGCGAAGGAGGCGGCGGAGGCGGGAGCCCTGGGCGGGCGTGAGGCGGGCGTAGCGGCGGGCGTCGCCCGGCGGGGGCTCGGGGCGGTCGTGGGGGCAGGTGGGGGAGGAGGAGGAGGATGGGGAAGAGGATGATGAGGAGGAGGAGGAGGTGGTGGAGGGGGGGGGGCGGTGAGAGAGGAGGTGGGGGAGGCGACGGGCAACAGGGGGGCGGCGGATGTCGTTGCTGGTGGTGGTGGTGGTGTTGTTGTTGTCTCGGCTGCTGCTGTTGTTGTTGCGGTTGTTGTTGTTGTTGGCAGAGGGTTTGTTGTGGAGGAGGTGGGGGAGTTGGCGACGTGGTTGGGCGGACGGAGGAGGCTTTGGATGCCGGCATGTCGGGTTGGTGATGGCTGCTGGGTGGGGAGGGGGGAGCAAGAGGGCCAGAGGGCAGTGGTGGTGGGAGTGGTGGGAGTGGTGGTAGTTGTGGTAGTGGTAGTAGTGGTGGTAGTAGTGGTAGTTGTGGTTGAGTGGTAGTGGTTGAGTGGTGGTGGTGGTTGTGGTTGAGTGGTGGTGGTTGTGGTTGAGTGGTGGTGGTTGAGTGGTAGTGGTTGAGTGGTAGTGGTTGTGGTTGAGTGGTGGTTGTTGAGTGGTGGTGGTTGAGTGGTGGTGGTGGTCGAGCGGTGGTGGTGGTTGTGGTCGAGCGGTGGTGGTGGTTGTGGTAGTGGTGGTGGTAGTGGTGGTTGTGAACAGGAAGGGAACAGCAAACGCGTACAGACGATTAGCGGGAACGCTCAACCCCACAACCGCAAATCATCATCGGTGTTGTTGTAGTAACGCACGGCCTCAACCACGAGCGCACGCTCCGGTAGGGAACAGCGCGCCGGTCCAACAACCACATCAACAACCACATCAACAACCACATCAACAACCACAACCATCCCTGGGGGAGACGTTCACTACCACGCCCGGTACGCTGGAGGTCGTGGGTTTGATGTTGAGATGTTGACTACCTCGCCTGGTGTACAGGAGGTCGTGGGTTGGATGTTGAGATGTTAACTACCTCGCCCGGTACGTGGGAGGTCGTGGGTTGGATGAGTCTGGCTCTGTGTGACGATGATGAGTCTGTGGCTCTCTGTGTGATGATGATGATGAGTCTGTGGCTCTGTGTGATGATGGAGTCTATGGCTCTGTGTGATGATGATGAGTCTATGGCTCTGTGTGATGATGATGAGTCTATGGCTCTGTGTGATGATGAGTCTATGGCTCTGTGTGATGATGATGAGTCTGTGGCTCTGTGTGATGATGATGAGTCTATGGCTCTCTGTGTGATGATGATGAATCTGTGGCTCTGTGTGATGATGATGAGTCTATGGCTCTGTGTGATGATGATGAGTCTGTGGCTCTGTGTGATGATGAGTCTGTGGCTGTGTGATGATGAGTCTGTGGCTGTGTGATGATGGGTCTATGGCTGTGTGATGATGATGAGTCTGTGGCTGTGTGACGATGACGAGTCTATGGCTCTGTGTGACCACGAGTCTATGGCTCTGTCACCACCGTGTTAATTAAACTTCATTATCCACACGCCACCGTTGATGCCAGCGAGTGCGGGACGCAGTGATGTATACCACGAACAACAACAACAACTTATAACTAACAACAACCAAACTAACAACAGCAACTTACAACTTAAAACTAAACGATTATCAACTAACAACTTATAACCAACAACAACTAACAACTATCAACAACTTACAACTAACCAACACCTTACCAACTTACTCGCCCAGTCAACACCCTCCTCGCTGTGTGTGTGGGTGGGTGGCCTTGTGTGGGGTACACGCACAAACACACTTACATACACACGCCTACGTACGTACACACACACGCACACACCTACGTACGTACGTACGTAGGTGTGTGTGTGTACGTACGTACGTACGTAGGTGTGTGTGTGTGTGTACGTACGTACGTACGTACACACACACACACACCTACGTACGTACGTACGTACACACACACACACACACCTACGTACGTACGTACACACACACACACACACCTACGTACGTACACACACACACACACACACCTACGTACGTACACACACACACACACACACCTACGTACGTACACACACACACACACACCTACGTACGTACACACACACACACACACCTACGTACGTACACACACACACACACACCTACGTACGTACACACACACACACACACCTACGTACGTACACACACACACACACACCTACGTACGTACACACACACACACACACCTACGTACGTACACACACACACACACACCTACGTACGTACACACACACACACACACCTACGTACGTACACACACACACACACACCTACGTACGTACACACACACACACACACCTACGTACGTACACACACACACACACACCTACGTACGTACACACACACACACACACACCTACGTACGTACACACACACACACACACACCTACGTACGTACACACACACACACACACCTACGTACGTACACACACACACACACCTACGTACGTACACACACACACACACCTACGTACGTACACACACACACACACACCTACGTACGTACACACACACACACACACCTACGTACGTACACACACACACACCTACGTACGTACACACACACACACACACCTACGTACGTACACACACACACACACACCTACGTACGTACACACACACACACACATACGTACGTACACACACACACACACCTACGTACGTACGTACACACACACACACCTACGTACGTACGCACACACACACACACCTACGTACGTACGCACACACACACACACCTACGTACGTACGCACACACACACACACCTACGTACGTACACACACACACACACACCTACGTACGTACGCACACACACACACACCTACGTACGTACGCACACACACACACACCTACGTACGTACGCACACACACACACACCTACGTACGTACGCACACACACACACACCTACGTACGTACGCACACACACACACACCTACGTACGTACACACACACACACACCTACGTACGTACACACACACACACACCTACGTACGTACACACACACACACACACCTACGTACGTACACACACACACACACACCTACGTACGTACACACACACACACACACCTACGTACGTACACACACACACACACACCTACGTACGTACACACACACACACACACCTACGTACGTACACACACACACACACGCCTACGTACGTACACACACACACACACGCCTACGTACGTACACACACACACACGCCTACGTACGTACACACACACACACACGCCTACGTACGTACACACACACACACACGCCTACGTACGTACACACACACACACACGCCTACGTACGTACACACACACACACACGCCTACGTACGTACACACACACACACACACGCCTACGTACGTACACACACACACACACACGCCTACGTACGTACACACACACACACACACGCCTACGTACGTACACACACACACACACACGCCTACGTACGTACACACACACACACACACGCCTACGTACGTACACACACACACACACGCCTACGTACGTACACACACACACACACACGCCTACGTACGTACACACACACACACACACGCCTACGTACGTACACACACACACACACACGCCTACGTACGTACACACACACACACACACGCCTACGTACGTACACACACACACACACACGCCTACGTACGTACACACACACACACACACGCCTACGTACGTACACACACACACACACACACGCCTACGTACGTACACACACACACACACACGCCTACGTACGTACACACACACACACACACGCCTACGTACGTACACACACACACACACACGCCTACGTACGTACACACACACACACACACGCCTACGTACGTACACACACACACACACGCCTACTTACGTACACACACACACACACACGCCTACGTACGTACACACACACACACACACGCCTACGTACGTACACACACACACACACACGCCTACGTACGTACACACACACACACACACGCCTACGTACGTACACACACACACACACACGCCTACGTACGTACACACACACACACACACGCCTACGTACGTACACACACACACACACACGCAAACGTACGTACACACACACACACACGCCTACGTACGTACACACACACACACACACACCTACGTACGTACACACACACACGCCTACGTACGTACACACACACACGCCTACGTACGTACACACACACACACACACGCCTACGTACGTACACACACACACACACGCCTACGTACGTACACACACACACACACACGCCTACGTACGTACACACACACACACACGCCTACGTACGTACACACACACACACACACGCCTACGTACGTACACACACACACACACACGCCTACGTACGTACACACACACACACACGCCTACGTACGTACACACACACACACACACGCCTACGTACACACACACACACACACCTACGTACACACACACACACACACCTACGTACACACACACACACACACCTACGTACACACACACACACACCTACGTACACACACACACACACACCTACGTACACACACACACACACACCTACGTACACACACACACCTACGTACACACACACACACACCTACGTACACACACACACACACACCTACGTACACACACACACACACACCTACGTACACACACACACACACACCTACGTACACACACACACACACACCTACGTACGTACACACACACACACCTACGTACACACACACACACACGTACGTACACACACACACACACCTACGTACACACACACACACCTACGTACACACACACACACACCTATGTACACACACACACACACCTACGTACACACACACACACACCTACGTACACACACACACACACACACCTACGTACACACACACACACACCTACGTACACACACACACACACCTACGTACACACACACACACACCTACGTACACACACACACACACCTACGTACACACACACACACACCTACGTACACACACACACACAC